TAATCTCTACTTTCAAAGAGTTTACATTCTCATGGGATAGCCAAGTACATGTATAAATGTATGCAGAACAAATAAAAATAATACAAAAAAATATATAAAGTATTTAAATACAAGATAGTCTGGGATTGGGAACAAGCATCCAAAACAAAATCTATGTTGAGTGGCATCTAGAGGACCCTTAAAATTTGATTCTGTGCTTGATCTTTTCCATCACAGTGCCAAATATCTTTGGTGAACATACATCTCCCAACTGTATGCTTCACCTGATACTTATGATTAGCGAGTCACTGAACAGGGTTACTTCTGTTACGTATTTCAAGAATTTTTGAATGATTCTGAGGTATGAATGGCAAATATTTTACTGGATGAGACGCTTTGAAGGTGGTGTTTACTGAAACAAATGCTTTTTTCATAATCAAACAATAAATATAGTGCAGTCTTCTACACTGCTGTAGTGGTCCGCTGTAGAATATCAGTTACAAAAGCCTGCCTTGTTCCTTCCCAACACCTCCAGATGTCATTGATGCCTAGATGAATCTCTAAGATTCTCTATAGATAAAAGTAGGCTTTGTAGTTGTTGTTCTCTCAGCTGCCTTTTTTCAGTATTAATGAGGTCAGGTTTCCCCCCCACATCTTTCTCTTCCTGTCAACATTCTCACGATGCTGTCACATTCAGCACAGGTCTCCTTTATAGACACTGGGTCTAATGGAGCTGCTTTCCTCATCTTGTTTAATGTAAATTTCACCTTTCCTATAAACATATAGGAGGCTGTCATGTTAGAATCCAAATGTTAAGATTTTATTATCCTGTTTGTTATAAAAATCCTTACAGGTTTCCAATTTTATACTTGTCCTGCTTCCATTGTCATAATTAAATACCCTCAGGATGACTGTGCTTAGCCAGATCTCTAGAAAAATTCTGTTAACCAATTTTAAATTTCCCACCCTCACTGCTTCTCCCAGCTTTGTGAGGCAATATTGCTCATAATCCATCATCATTGGTGAGACTTTACAAACAAGTTTATATTCTTAATTACAGTAGCCTTTGGCTACATTTTCTCTCCAGCTGGCAAGTATGCCAAATGTTTGCTGAGGAACTTTTTTAATGTCTTGTTTGGGTTCTTTTTGGTTCCCTTGTGATACCAATTAACATCAAACTGTATAAAATGATCATAATTGGTGTTGAGGCCATTCTATTGTCTATTACTCATTTTTATTATCAATTATTTACTTTAATACTTCAAGATTAAACTGTTTCAACTATATGTCATATATTTTTCTCAGAATTATTTTTTCTTCTATATTCTTTACCAATTCTGATCTTTGCTGACAATGTGGTTGTCTATATGTAGACAAGCTGATTCAGGAACGACTCAAATATCAACAAGTCTTTCTGTTTGTTAAAATATAGGAAATTTCATTTCTTGGGATGTGATTTGGTACTTGTCAATTTTTTCTCAAAGAAAAAATATTCATGATATAAGGGCATGTCTACAAGTTTTTGTTCTTTGTCCTTCCTGAACCATGGTCAACAACCACATAAAAATGCTTAATTAATAAGAGATGTATAAAGTAAAACAACTCTGAGGTTTTACCCACACCTCTCAAAGTAGTAAAATGATTTCAGATGGAGAAACAGACAAATTTGGATTATCTATAATACTATATTTAGATGAATCTCTGATTTCATATTTTAATTCTCAAAGAGTTCACTATTTAGGTAACTGAAATTAGTTCACTGAACTAAATGTCAAAGTCTATACACATAATACAATACTAGGAGGATAGCTGAGATATAGTAAAAAACAGACTGAACCATGAGTCAAAAGACCAGAATTTTAGGCACAGCTGTGAGACTTCACCTTTCTGAGCATCAGTTTTTTCATCTGTAAAACGAAAATTCACCTTATCTCTTAGCATCCCTAGCTCCATTCAAGATCAGCTCAATGGTCCCTTCTGCAGAAGACTTGTCTTAATCCTTTCAGTCTTGAATGCTCCCTGCCTCCAAGGAAATTCCTTTGAATATACTATCTACATGCTTTGTACTTATCAGTGTATCCATTTCTCCTTTGGAGATAATTTCCTTAAAGAGGAGAATTGTCTTAATCTTGTCTAATTTAGTCCCCCAGCACCTAGTATAGTGTCTTGTATATAGCAGACTCTTGGTGCCTTTTAATCCTAAATATTATGATTCTTAATCTTTCGACAATTATTTTTTATTTACAAGCCTATCTGAAGTCACAGGTAACAAGGCCGAGTTTCTTCTTGGTTTCGGGATTCAATAAAAACCAGGGTCACTTTCAATAAAAACTACTTACTTAGTTTAGACCTAATAACCAAATTCAGATGCTTTTAATCTTTTGTCATTGGAGTAAAACTGTAAAAGAAGTGATTCGCTAATTATTTTATGCCTAATATTTTTACACCCGTCATTTTCTGACATGTCATCTCTCCCATTGACCCCAGTTACCCTATATGTTCAGTATCTTCTAGAACATGGTCTAACAGTCTTGCTCTTTAGGTGGCCCTGAAGTCTTACTAATGAAAAGTGAGGGTGGAGAGCCAAGAAAGAAAAAGGAAAAACATAAGGAGACTTGTCTTGGGCAAAGATCTTGGTTTTATTCATTTCTGTATAACCTAAATTGCCTTGAACATAACAGACAGTCACTAAGTATTTGCTGAATAGCAATCGTAAATGATGTAGTTTTCAAAAAGTTAAAGCAAAAAAAATATTAAATTTTTAATCTTTTAAGTATAAAAATCTAATTATTTGCAAGGTAAGCAGAATGACTTGAATATTTTTGACATTAAAAATAATTCATATTTTTTTTAAAGATGAGGCTACGGCCACTCAATGAATAATTTAATTCTAATTTTTGGTCAGTATTTATTATTATTCATATTGAGGGAAAAAATGGTTCTAATTATCATAGCTTAAATGAAAAGCATTTTTTTAAAAAAGTAAAAATATGTAACCCCTATTAATGATTTGATAAATCATGAAAATATCTTCATGAATCCAAATTGGAATCTTTACCTGTTTGGATAGAGTCTACATTTTAGATAGTTCAGAGGCACACATCTGAAAGTAGCTCCTATTTAAAAATAGTATGTATACAAAAAGTCTCTAAAGTGGCCATGAATGTGCTGAATTACAGCATATAGCTGTATCAAAATTTTCTTTGTCAGTTTACTCTGAGAAAAAAGAAAAACATTAACAAAAAGGGGAATATTTTTAGCTAAGTATTCAAGTTTCATTTTGTTAGCGGTTAACACAACACTATAAAAGAACTAGCTGGTATTTGTCAATGTGTTCTTACATACTACATTAAATTTTAAAACAAAATTTAAAGTCCATATATTCAATTAACTCTACCAAACCTTTAAGTTTTAACAGAAATATTTTAGATTTAGTATAGTGCCTTGTATACAGTAGGTGCTTAATGTCTGTTAAATTGTTAATATGAATAGTATAAAATAACTTTTTAAAAAAACTCCCAAAACTGCATACATGATAACTTATATTTCAGTTGCATTTTAAGTTCCAAACATAATTCCATAGAGCTTTGGATATTTTCCCCTGCAAATACACTGAACAGTTCAACGACCTTTTCTCAATACTTCATAAAGAATCCAGCAATTTTATCAGCAATCCAATTTAGTAAAATGAGCACCAGACCAGCAGTCAGAAGACCTGGATTCATTCACCCACCTGAGTGAAAGTGAACACACTATCTAACCTGTCTCCTCATCTTTGTAAAAATCAAACAAAAAAACCAACAGACTAGATAATTTCTAACGTCCCCTATTGTCAGAGATGCTACTAATGATTTTTAATGAAACCTAAGCAGAGAAACTTGGCCAAGAAATGCTGATATGACACAAGTCCATTACAAATGAGAATTACAAATAGAAAGCTCTAAGAAGTCTTATATTCACTAAATCCAGTTATCCAAAAAGACTTGACACAGGCATCGAAAAACAATTAAAAGTTTTCTTAAAAGCATGACCTTAATATTTTCTCTGGTAATCTATTACTTTAAATTCTCTCTGTTGCAAATGAAAACCAAGCAGACTATTATTGACTACACAGTTAATTCCAGATTTTTTTTAAATGGCTTTTGCTGGATTTGGAGTCAGAGTTCTGCCACTTACTACTTGTGTGTAATTCTCCCTTGGTCTCAGTTTGCTTATCTGTAAAATAAAGGGTGACCTTTGACATCCCTTCCTGCTCTAAATCTATATTCATACTACCCTGATTCCTGACAAGTTCTATCAGCCATTATACTTAAAGAGTACAGATACAGAAAGTTGGAAAAACTGGGGGCAAGACCTCCCTTCTACTAATGACAGCCCACTAGAGAAGCATTCAGATGAAAGGGCCTTATCTGAATACCAGTTAAGGTCCTGATTAATGTTTACCTGGCAAAAGCACTGGTTCCAGCTTTTTAATCTTGGGCTCAGGATTCCTCTTATCTTCATCCTGAAACACATTAGAGAAACTTTAAATTTTAAGAATTTCTTGTACTTTTTTAAAGTTGTTAAAATTTTTAATTCAAAACTTTGATTTAAAGTTTCTTTTCTTATTTAGTATGAGAAACTTAAGCAAATTTTCCAAATTCATTGGTCACTAATGCCTAAGGCCCATCGGTTGATTAAAAACCCTTAACTTCTTTCACCTTTTAGTGAGTTTTTCCTAGACAAGGGTTCTTAAATCTGCGATTTAATGAATTTAGTTTGTTTAGAATATTTCAATAACTGCCTTTCACTCTAACTGGCTTGCTTTGTATTTTATTTCAAGTCTAGAAAAACACTCTGAGAAGGGGGTCCATAAGCTTCACCAGTCTGCCAAAAGGGTCTGTGATACGTACCAAAAAAAGGTGAAGAATTCTTGCTAGATAGATCCCAAAATTTAAAGTCTGAGAGAAACCTTCCCAACCGCCTGCCTGCCTTCTACTACTACAGTTGCTGTTATTATTCTTTACCCTTTCTAACGTAACCTTTGCTCTCGGGCGGCTGCAGCAGGGCATTTGGAGGGCCAATGACCAAGCTGCGATGGCCCCGGCAGGGGGGCAGCGACGTGAGTGGGTTTACACAGAGTCCGAGCAGCGATTTCCACGCTAAGGAAAGAGCGGTGTTATGGACGCCGACGAGAGCTCGTTGCCCGGGCAGAGGAGTTTTAAAAGTTTCCCCGGGACTGGCTGGGGGTGGGAGAGTTCCTCCGATCCGGACCCGGTTGGTGGTTTGGGGGGTCGGGAACTCGAACCTGAGTGGGGATGTTGGGCGGGGGCTGTGTGCGAGGGTGGTGAGGCTCCCACCACAGGAAGGAAGAAGCCTCCTCGTGGGGTGGCTCCGCGAGTGGGACACGGGACTCGTCGGCTGCCTGCTCCCCACCTGGGAGACGCGAAGCCTGCACCACTGGAGTCAAAGGGGGAAAAGTCTCGACCCTCCCCAGAAGCCCCACGCGAGCCCAACACTTTGAGGTGGGGGGAGGGGAGCCCCCTCCTCCTCCCCCTCCCCCGGTCCTGGAGCTGGTCGTCGGCTGGGGGAGGGGAGGCTGTTTACCTGAGGTGGCGGCGCCGGCGGCAGGAGGTAGGATCTGAAGGTGGGTCGGGGCGGCTTGGAGAACATGGTGCCCCCCACGGCTGCTTCCTTCCTTCCCACCCTTTCTCAGCAGGGGTGGTGGGGTGACCCACCCCGGTGGGGGGCGGGGGGCAGCGGCGCAAGCAGGGTTGCCCTTCCTTCCCCAGCCACGGCCACGGAGTTTCCCCGAGGAGTCGCCCAGGCCGTCTGGGTCTGCGGCCGGCCCCCCACCCCCCACTGGGCGGGCGGAGACAGGAGTGCCCGGAGCGGGGAGGAGGAGGAGGAGGAGGAGGAGCCGCGGGGGCCGAGCCAGGCGTGACGCGGCCCCTTGAGTTCCCAGCCCCCGGAAGGGACCTCCCCGCCTCTGCCCCCGCCCCACCCCGCGGGAGGGGTGTTTTGGCGGGGGAAGAGGGCGGAGGTAAAGGTGGAGGTGTGGAGGTGGAGTCGCCCGCTTGCGCGCGCACCGCTGCTCTGAGGGGGAGGCTCGCGACTCTGTGCAGCCGTCAGCCCCACAACACGAGGTCCTCCCCCGTGCTGCCGGGGTGCCCCCCTGGGGCGCGGGGAGCGGCGGCCATGTTGAGCAAGGAGACCCGGGGAGCGGGCTTCTACGGCGGCACACAGGGGCCAAACGGCCCCAGCTGCCCTGGAGGGAGCTCGGAGGTGGTGGCGTCCAGAGCGCTAGCTAGATGCCTTGGTCCATGCCGGCCTCCTCTCGCTCCCGTCCCTTCCTTCCCTTGGACAGCTCCCTCCACTCATGCCTGTTAGTCATCAGACTTCAGGGATTCGTTATTTCCATAAGGGATCTGAAAGCCCCGGATTCCCTCTTGGGGCCCGAGGGAGCTGTGGGACGACCGTCACTCTCTGTCCTTAGGGCGGGGAGGTGGGACGTGGGCCAGGCCCGGGCCGCACCCGCTGGTCAGCACTTCTCCGTGAGCCCAGAAAAGTACTCTTGAGGCGTAATCATCGTCTCTGCGTCCGAGGCTGATTTCGGGACACAGTTAATCCTCCTGACTCTTGGTTGCAAATCAAGTCAACAAGCTTTTGTGAATGAATGAAGCTTTTATTAAGCCCTTAATACTGTGCCTGGAATGTTGTAGGAGCTCCGTAAATATCTGTTCGGGTCTCCTCTTTCTTCTTCCTGTGTGCAAAGTACTGGGGAGACAAATGGAAAAGTAGCCCCTTCTCTCAAGAAGCTCACATCCTATGGAAGTCGAATGGAAAAACCCACTGGTACCTGGGAATTAATGGTGCTTATTAATTTATTGGCGAGAGAAAGCATTAGTGACACCTGAACTGGGCCAGAGAGGCAGAAATGAGGGAGCCCGTTCCAGGTGTGTGCAGGGCACAGCCTGTGGCTTTCTCAAAGAAACGAGTGGGATTTGGGAGGGTACCTTGTAGCAAGGCTGGCATGGCCTGGGTGTAGATGAGGGCTCAAGGCCGCAGGCAGTGCAGAGCCCAAGCATAGTCTAGGGTGGTCAGTTTTGGAGAGCGGAGCAGCAAGAGTGAGTGCCCGGGTGAAGATGAAGATGAAAGGATGTGGGGGAAGAGTCGAAGATGACTCCAAGGTTCTTAATCAGGGTGACTGTGAGAAGAGGGATGCCCTCTGCAGGCATAGAGAAACTTGGAGGACGAGCTAAAAGTTTAGGGACAAAGAGTTGTATTTTGCATACATTGAGTTTAAGCTGATGTTGGAACATAAAGTTGAATAATAGGATCAAAGATTTCTAGCTAAGAGAAATGGCTCAAAGTTTAAATGATGCAAAAACAGTGGTCCACAGATGAATTTTACTATTCACTTAGTGAATTCTTTACTGAATTGGCTCTGAGCTTATAAGACTCGAAACAATTCAGACTTCTCTTCTTGTATCCTTAATAATTCTCTTGCAAATAGGCTTAGACAAGATAGCCACTGAAGCGCTTCCCAACTATGAAATTCTATGGTTTAATAATAACAAATAACTGGAGCCTTTGGGTTTCATGTTGCAGGGTCTTCTCAGGAACAGTGCTATATGATTAGATCCCTTTTGTACTTTCAATAATAAAATCACTCACTTAGAATTTTCGGATATATTGAATGGTGTTATAATGAAGCTCTAATTTAGTATACCAAAAACCATAAATAATCAGGGTACAGCAGTGGTAACAGCTGTAAAATTAAAAACATCTAAAAGTTCACAGGAAGTCACGGAGTTCCTCTTTTTCTAATACTATCTTTTCTTGGCATCAGACCTCCAGAAAGCAAGGTATCTTGGCTGTCTGTAGTTTTTGGCCCCAGCAACTCAAACTTTTATGAAGATTTTTGATCTTGTTCTGCTGAAGATGTCATCCATCCTTTTAAAAATTTAGTTGCGTAGAGCAGAAGTGTCAAACTATGGGCCTGCAAAATTTCCAAGTCTAACCAGATTAAAATGTAACTGGGAAATGTTAAACAAAAATAGTTATTTTTGTTGTTGTTCAGTTAATGTCTAGTTCTTCCTGACCCCATTTGGGGTTTTCTTGGCTAAGATACTGGAGTGGTTTGCCATTTCCTTTTCTAGCTCATTTTACAGAAGAACTGAGGCAAAATAGGGTTAAGTGGCTTGTCTAGGATCACACAGCTAATAAGTGCCAAGTTTAAAGTTTTCAAGATTTATTCCTTACTTCAGGTCTGGTATTCTATCCACTGCGCCACCTAGCTGTCCCAGTACCACATAGATAATGTTAGTACTTGGTTTCTAAGAATGAGACCACAGGGATTTCTATTTGAGTGTGACACCAGTGTCTACAGTATTTAAGAACTGGTGGCATTTCCCCCCCACATTTAAATAGATATTCAACCAGTATTTCAAAATAAACCTACTTTTACCTAAATACCTGTTACAGATTTTGAATCTTCTTGGGGTTTATAGCTCTGTGTGATACAAAAGTTAAAAACTAAATTGTCCAGGTGTTTTATTTACATTTTATTTACACCAATATCCAATCCAATAAACCTAACAGTTGTTTTTCTTGGTTCTCATTCTCCCTGACCAATCTGTGGGTCTGAAAAGTTCCTTTCCTGGCTTCCAGTAGAGATGGTAAGCTCCTTGAGAGCAAGGGCTATTTGTCTTTGCATTCCCAGTGATCTTCCTACACAATCCTACATTTCCCATTTTTTAATAGACTGTCTCCCATGCCTGGAATGCTGTCCTTCACCTTCATCTCTTAGAAGTCTCTGGCTTCCTCTGGTTAAGTTTCTTGCCCAAGTTCGCAGTCAATGTGTGACAAGGGTAGGACTGGAACCAAGTTCATCCTGACTCCACTATGCCAAGCTGTCTCTTGCCTAACAAGATATACATATAGGTGCTTGAAAGGTAAATGGTAGTTGATTTTAATTCCATGCCAATTAATTCAGATTCTCCTCTTATCTCTCTTACTGTCTATTTCTTTTGCTGACTTCTTTTTCTTCTTCTTCCCCCTAAATATAGGCATCCCCCAAAAGTCAGTCTTTGGATCTCTACTTTTTCTCTCTCTCAAAACATTCATTTTTCTCATCAGTTTAGCTAGCACTTTTATACTGATGATTCCTGAATCTCTATCTCTATCTGATCTCTCAAGTTACAGTCCAGACTAGTTCTGGGACTAGTAACCTATCCAGATGTCTGCTAAAGAAATGACTCCACATGTTTTCTCAGTAAAAATTCTTGAGAGGCCTAGGGGAAAAGATAACTAGAGTATAATGAGGCACTTGAAAAGATGGTGGGAAAGTATGGTTTTTATTATAGAAGTGTACAGCATACCCACTGACGGTTGTGAATTTTATATTGATGTGACTGGTAAATGGTTTTAAATTTGCGTTACATTATGAGCATGCTAAGTTTGTGAAGAATATTCCAATAACTCTTAGAAACTGGTACTAATTGCAAATACAAGTCATTGCCAACAGTGTCCAAAGGTAGGAACTGAGAAGTAGAACGAAAATAGGAAAGAGAGGACAATGTACAATGCTAAATTATGAATTAATAAAGTATAAAATAAACTCAAAGTTAATGTTTTATACTATAACCTTGTAAAATATACTAAATCATTGTAGCTAATTCAGTTCAATAAACACTTAATAAGCACATAACCTGAAAAAAAAGCACTTCACTAGAATTTTGATGCAGTTTGGAAGGATATGATACAATGAACTAATCTTTGGAGGTGAGATTCTTTTTTTGTAAGTAAGGAATGCCTATGTAAATACTTCTACATATTGTTTACTTTAAAGGTGTGCTTTTTAACATTTTTTTGTGTCATGGACCCCTTTGGTAGTCTGGTGAAGTCTATGGACCCCTTCCCAGATTTATATTTTTCTATATATAAAATTAAGTACATAGGATTACAAATGAAACTAATTATTTTGAAATACAATTAGCAAAATATTTTCAAAACAAATTCACAGATTCTGGGTTAAGAACTCCTGCTTTAGAGTGATCACATCAGAACAGATGCAGTGGTTACAAAGTAAGTAGAAAGACTTGTGATGTTCATTTAAAGTCCCAGACTGAGCAAGATTGTGCTCCCAAATGGTAAAACTGGGTTCTTAATAAGGCATATTAACTCTGACAAGCCACTTAAGGAATTAAACTTGTATATGTCCCTACCAATTTATTGAACTTAAATATGCAATACAAATTACATTAGAGTTTTCATTTCTAACTCTGCAGTTAGCAATATAAATGAAGTCAGCATTCTTTCCCACTTGCCTGGCATAAATATTTTTCTGGAGAAGAGTGAATGGCTATTTATGGTTGGTTGATTTAGGCAGCTGGCTGCTTCATGGGGAACTGGTTATAGGAATTGACCAATTTCCTCTGTGACTAGCAGCTGCCTACTCCCATTAGTTATATATAATATCTTCGTATGGCAACCAGTACGAACTTTTTAGCTAACTCTTACATAAGTAATCTCTGAGATTAGCAGCCAGAGTAGAATAAAATAAAAAATCCAGTTTTGTTTAACAAGACTTTTTTCCAGTGATATATTGCAAACTGTGTCTTAATCAGCACTTTTCTAAGGAGA